ATTTAATGCAAAAAGAAAAGATATCTTTCTGATTAAAAAAAAACAGCTTGTAACACTTTATCTGGCTCACCCTGCATTTATGGCCATCCTAGATTTGTGTCCTTTGGATTTTTTTTCTGCAGTTACATGAAAACTAAAGTTTATAGTTATCAAAAACCAAAACTTGGGAGCAACTTATACAAATAACATGTATTGCAAGTTAAGACATATGAAATTACATTTTGTAACATTTATTATAAGACCGAATACAACTATGTTTATATATAAAAGGTCACCAATTTGAACAATATTTAGAAAGTGTAAGTAAAAATTAAAGTAAAACAAAAACTATACCAGCAATTAAAAAGAATTGTTCCTTGAATGGATAAGCATGTAGTCTCTTATTTCCATTAGAGCTTCTAACAAATGTACATACATGTATGACCTTTCTGGTTAAAAATAACAAACAACAAAATAAATGGAGGGGGAGAAAAGAAAGTGTAAAGAAAATACACAAAGTATATACATAAAAATAAAGGAAATGATTGTCATTTTAGATCTTTATTATATCTTAGTGACAGTAGAAACACTTTACCTTGTCAAATTCATATGAACAAATATACATTTTTAATACTATGCTTATGGGACATTTTTTATTTTGTTTTGTTTTTTTTTTCACCTTTTTAACCACCTTCCTTCTAAAGGTAATTTAATTAAAAGAGATTCTATACGTTATTTCATATAAAAGCTACTTCTGTTATTGTATTTGTCCATTTGAAACTATTTGAAACAAAAAAAAATATCAATGAATACTAGAGCCAAGTATCTGATATATATAATATTTCGCTAAAGCTATAATATGCTATGTATTTTCCAACATCTGTGAAATACTACCTTACAAATGTTGTTGCAAAGAATCATTCTTACTAGCTAAAAGATACTGCTTCAAGAATTATATTAGAGCCAAGAGATTAAAGTTATCTTTAAAATTTTGAATAAGAATAAATAGTACAAATTACATTTCTT